CTTACTTCTTGCCTATCTCACATTGCGAATTTTTTCTAAGCTCTATACTAAACATTAAATCTGTTACGAAAAAAGAACTAAACAAAATGAACACAAAACGATCAGCTTTTAAAAAGGACTCGTAACTGGAAAAACTGAATGAAAAAAGAATGTTAACAACAAATACATTTTCACACCCAAAGAATGTTAACAATACGTTTATCACACCCAACCCAGTTCTGCGAAATCAGAATCAACGTTGAGTTTAAGCAAGCGAATGAGCCAATTGGAGTAAAGTGCCATGGAGATTTAAATTTTTCCCACTTGTGACGAATGCAGCTATAGATTTTTTTTTTTTTTGCATGCTAGCATGCTAGTTAATATTCGTGTCAGTCAGCTGTTGGCTCTCACGCTGGCCAATAGAATCTTCCTGCCTATTCGTGGCAGCCAGCTATAGGTTCTCACTCTGGCCAGTAGAAAATGGCCGCAAACTACATGAAAACTGCCGTAGAAGCATGAAAAAATCGATTATTTCCAGTATCGATGCAAAGTCAGTCTTGGCCTTCCCGCTAACTTGGAGCATGTGCATGTAAATTTTGGTGCAAATCCGTCGAAAATTGCGGCCGTGCATTCGTTACACACACACACACACACACACACACACACACACATCCTGCCTTTTATAGATAGGGATATTACTATATAAGATATATTGTAAAATAGGTATATTGATCTTGGCTTGTATAAAAATACGTATGCTGTTGGCACACTAAATGATTTTAAAACTCGAACTTTTTAAGTTTTTCTTTTTTTTTTTTTTATTAAACTTAAACGTCGGCACATACTTAGCAAAAGGTTGCCGACTCCTGGCCGAGGAAGAAAATGAATAGACTGGGGATCTCATTTCCACCTTGTCGTACTACTGATGAGGTTTGAATTTACTTTTTTATCATTCTTCTTCTTCTTCTTCTTCTTCTTCTGTATGTGCCGTGTCCCCTCAAGACGTAAGCGATCATGGTTCTCCACAATTTCCTGTCCTTTGTCCCTCTTGATAAATTGTGTTCTTTTTGTTATTTCTCCTAAACTCTGTTCCACATTCAAAGATCATCAAGCATATTATGCATTGTTTTCCTCTGTCTATATTTCCTTCAGTCTGTCTTGTGAGTATAAGATTTTCCAAGCCTTTCTTCCTCATTTTGTGGCCCAGAAATTTCAACTGTCTCTTCCTAATGTTAAGTATAAGTTCCTTTTTTTTCATTTTCTCTAAAACCTCGTCTTTGCTCACATAATCGGTCAATGGTATTCTCAGCATCCTTCTGTAGAACAACATTTCTGTTGCTTCAAGTCTCTTTTTCATCTTTGAGAAGATTGTCCTGTTCGAATTTTTGGGTAGTTTTTGTACTAGTGAGCTAGCCAAAATGAGCTGACTCATTTTATAGTCCACCAAGAGAAGGGTTAACCAATCAGAAAGCTCAAAATATTCAATCCGACGTGTATAAAGGCAGCCATTTTGTTTTTTCTCACAAAATATCTTCACTGCCAACCTCTGATATCGAAGACTTAAAGAATTAACAGCCGCTACTTTCTCCGAATCTTCCCTGCCAACCTCTGATATTGAAGACATTACGGACTTCACTGGATTCCATATTCAGAGACTACAGCAAACATGGTCAACATTTCCAGCATTCACAGCCATATCCCGTAAGAGTTCAGTACTCTTTTCTTTGATTCTAAAGAAGTTTTTTTTTCTGTTTCTTAATACTCTGCTTAGCTTTTGGAATGCATTTTTGGATATCCCAATGTATCTTCGGATTTCAGTGTCACATTTTGTGTCCTCTGTTAAAACACTTACCATAATTTCGTACTTGTTTGATTTTGGTATCTCCGTTTGTAATTTGCATTTTGGGCTCATGCTTTTTGTGACAACCATGTTTTCTTACAGTCTATGTTCAATCCTTTCTCCTCGCTTACCTTCACTAACTTCTGTGGAAGTTTTTTAATTTCCTTTTCGGGTCTTCTATCAACACTGTCATCTGTATACCTTATGCTGTTAAAACTGCGTCCACTATTTTACCTTAAGCGATAAAACCCCCTTCGAGCTGGCCGACGACAAATTCGGCTACCAGTTTTCCACGAACAAACATTAGACGTTTCTTTGTTTTTAAAGATACTTTTTTACCATCAGGAATTGTTAAAAGAATTTACTTTTTTTTTATCTGTTGCTTGTTCCATTGGTCAAGAGAAGTTAATGTAAATTAGTTTAGTTTTTCCTTCCGTTTGTGCCGTTAGGCGCCACGGGGAGATATAGTCGTCTGTCAGCAGCAAGGCAAATGACCTGGAGGAGAGATATCTCGTGGGCTCTGTGAGTGTCTGCCACTGAGTCGCTCCAGCGTCTTCTTGGTTTACCTCTCGCTTTCCAGACAGAATCCCTGAGGGTGTATTCTCGTACAGCTGGTTGGTTGATAGGTATACCAGTGAGGAATCCGAACCACTTGATCCTCTGTCGTTCGATGTGTTGTATGATTGGTATTGCTCCTACCATATCTCTTATTGCCTCATTCCTGATCTTGTCTCTCCTGGTCTAATGTCAATTAGTGTTAGGAGAAAACCGGAAGCTAGAAAATGGCTTCCTTTGAATTTCTGGAAACGGATGTCTTCTTTTCTTCTTATATGTGATGTCCCCTTTAATGGATTTCTAAAATTCCCTGTCCTTTGTAGGTTTTAATAAATTTTGTTCTTTTGATATTTTTCCTAAACCCTGTACCGCCATCTATTTGGGTACGATTTCGCGCTAATAACACTGGAAAAGGTAAGAATCCATCTCTCCCCACACCTAGCCACCCAAGCATATCGAATAATATTGCTTTGGTTGGGAGCCGTTCTAGGAGAATTATAACTTTGAATTCAAAAACATTCGAGCGTGGAACTAACAAAGACCACACTGTAAAAAAAAAAATAGTTTGCTACGGAAACCACAAAATTTTGAACCGAACCCTTTATTGAATCTACAGGGCCAGATGTTCCGCTTTCCATGATCGGGGGATTTTTCAAACGCAGAATAATAATAATAATAATTATTATTATATATTTTTAAAAAAATCACCACAAGCAAAGCATTAATGCAACTAGTACGCAGAGGGTTACATGAAAGTGAAAGATAAGAAATACTGAGGAAAGGACAAATGATGAACGGATTTCAAGAAGACAGAAGATGGCGACTGACGTTGTATTAACATTTTTGAAGATGACAGTTACCAGGGAAGCTAACAAGCACCCGCCCGCGTATTCTTCCGGGAGGATTGGCAAAGGAGGAGAAGGAGGCTTTTTCTGTAAGAGTAGATGCTGTGGTTGTAGTGTCTGTTCCGTACCGGAGGCCTTTTCTCCTTCTTTGCGTGACATCTGTTATGTAGTGGCGGTATAACCGGCTATGATTAACTCAGACAAGCTATGATCAGCTTAGACCAGCGGGCCGAGTGGAAACAGTCGGGTCCCCACGTTAAAAACCGACCTTTTGTCACAGCCTGGTTCAGTGGGGTCAAATTAAATCTCGGGAAGCAAGCAAGCAAGCAGAAGAAATTGCGTGGGAAGTACGAGAAAAGAAACAGAGTAGAAATGGCGGTTGCATTTCGCAATTTTAAACAGTAAAATGGTGGGACCTAGTTGCCAATCTAGTTTAAATTCATGTAGTCGGGGCACCAGGGAAAAAATCTTGTTAGAACAGTTGCCATGAAAATATTTGTAGAAAAGACAGAGGGAAACCATGTCACGTCGGTGAGAAAGTGGCTGAAGTCGAAATGTCTGGCTAGAATCGATGATATTACAGATCCTACTTTGGATCTTGTGAAGAATCGCGAGATGTAATTCAGGAGCACGAGACTAGATATGGCAGCACTATTCAATGCACAGATGTATGATAGATTTATAAATGTGCAAGATGAATTCAGACCAAAAATTCTGGCACATCACAGTGACCCAACTTTTCTTGAAGAAGATGCAGCTATTGATTCGATGTAGTCGCTCCACTAGTCAGAGGAAAATGTGAGGCCAAGAAGGCGTATTCTATTGCTCTCCTGGTGTCTCGCATCAGCCATGCTGATGGCAGGCAAAAAAGGTTCTCGAATTTAGAAGTCATTTTTTGCCCCAGTTAATCACTGATTGGAAGTCCTTCTTCTCGTTATACGGGCAACGTTTCAGCAATTAGACATTCAGCAGTAATCATACGTTGAAATTTCCAACCGAGCCCTTCAATATACGATTGTAGATTCTCCTCAATTTGTTTACTATGCTTGGACGATAACATTAGTATCATTTAATATTTACCGGTCTTATTCGTCTTTCTGTCGCGTGTGTGTTTCTTCAATCAGAGTGTACCAAAGCCCAAAGATTAAACTCTCAGCTGCCTAGAAACCAGATATGATTTCAACAAACTTTTTTTTTTAACTCATTTCACTCCAGGCAAGGCAATAAAGCTACTAAGACACAAGGGGTTACTGAGTGTTAGAGAATATGAGAAGAATATATAATTAAGGAGAGAAGATAATAAAAGGACAATAATTAAGAAGACTGAAGATAAAGATTGACATTGCATTGAAATTTTTGAAGATCAAATTTGACAGGGAAACAAGAAACCGGAAGAGAGTTCCACAGCTGAGAAGTACGATAGAAGAAACTGTTGACGTCATTATGGTTTTTTTTGTTTGTTTTTTATTGTTCAAGTCTGTAAATTTGTTTTGTTTATGCAAAAAAATTAAAAATATATAAAATCCACCATGACACTTGCTACAAAAAAGCCTTCAAGGACGTTACTAGTTCTAGGTAAATCCCCTTCAAGGGCGTTACTAGTTCTAGGTAAATCAGCACTGACTTACTCAAAGAAAGACCACATACGTATTTCAAACATAGGTATTTCGAATAATTATCATCGTGTATAATTGTCCTTTCGGTTAATTTTCATCCAAACAATTTACAATTCGATTAAACGGTTTTCGAACAATTTTTTTGATATGCATATAGCTATACTCTTACGGCTATGTCACGTTGAAACACCGGTTCTCGTACGATGACCGAAGTTAAGCAAAGTCAAACCTGGCCAGTACCTAGATGGGTGACCGCTTGGGAATACCAAATATTGTAAGCTTGGATGTGTAATGGCGCGGAATTAGAAATCGGGGAGTCGAGTTTCAATTCCAGTCGGGTTCGTTATATGAATCCACCTCTTCTTCTTGCTCCAACTAGTTAATTAGTAAAATTTGTGACAGTAAAAATCATTATTATCACCAAAGCATTCTTGCAATCTATAAATATTTTCTGGCTTTAAATAACCTGCAAAGTGTTGATAAGCCGTGAAAACAAAACAATCAATACATATGACGATGTTTGCTGAAACACCTGAAAAATATTCAAGAGATATTGCTGCCACTTCTAATCTGATGATACTACTATATATTTAGAGATTCTTGACAAAATCCAAAGAAGAACCTGCAACGTTATTTTAGGAGAGAAAAAAAATGATGATGAGGGGATCATAAAGTGCAGTGCGTCGCTCACCGGCAGGCGAGCTATTATTTTTTTTCTTTTTCGGTCGCCTCAAGGAAATGAATTGCGCGACTCCCTTTCTCAGCCGTTACACTGAGCAGTTATGAGACACCAACTCAGCCGCGCCTACCTCTTTGTCTTGCCTGTCTATCCGTACGTCCAACTCTATTACACGCAGTTCGCCGAATGATTCCTTGACCCTTGGTGCCGCTGGCACCCAGCTTTTTATGCTATTCCAAGACGGCCAAAATCTGCATGGGTGCAAATATCGTCTCGGTTTGGACGAGATAGGCGCGTATAAATCGTGTCTTCAATAGCGGCCATATTTCTTTTTATCATCACTTTGCAGGCAAGACACGGACGCGCTCGTTTCGAATTCTGAGGTAAGTCATGTCATTCGTCACAGTTATCGGTATCGACCTGGGATATCGACTTCATTCGCTTTCCTGCCGCTGTAACGTATCTTCCGTACTTTTTCAATAAATATTTTCATAGTAATTGTTCTGATGAGATTTTCTATTTGGTACTTCGACTCCATGAATTGAAGCCCATTACTAGATTGGCAGTTAGGCCTCATAATCTTAGTGTTGAAATTGCTAGTTGTAACCACAAGTTCTACACTAATAGTTTCTTCTCTCGCACCTTTAACGCGTGGAACTCTCTTCTAGCTTCCTGCTTTACTGTCAACTACAATCTTCAAAAAATGACATGCAATTTTAATCCATCATTTTTTGCCTCCTTAAAACCTGTTCTTTTATTGCTTTCTCTGTCGCTTTCACTCTCAGTAAACCCTTGCATCTTAGTGTTTTTATTGCCTTACTTGGGATGAAATGGTATTAAAAAAGGTTACATTTTTTTTATTTGTCAAACTTTTCTTTTGTTTATTATTCTTGCTCTATGTTAGCCTACTTGGCAACATGTGCAACTTAGTCTTCGCCGGAGATATCAAAAAACTGTCTCGTATGTTTATATAGACGTGGCGTTGCATAGTTAACATGATCCTATTTTCTCTTCATAACATTCTATTTCAGTGTTACTTCAACCAGCAGACGCTACTAAAACCCGTAAAGAATTAAAGAATGTAATATCCCTTTTCCATAACCAATCTTTACACCTCAAAATCCGCATATAAAAGAGTTTGTCTTCGAAGCTTCTTACCAGAGAAGGAAATATAACGTCTTTGAGGAAATTATGCATCCGTTCAGTATTAGCGTTAATACTAGCCCAACTTCACCTAGCAACTGTGCCTGAGTCCACTCCAAGGTATTCGCTTCTGGATTTCACGAACCTAACCCCTTCGTTTCAGCGACGCTTTTACCATTAGAAAAAGCAAGAAATTGAAAAGCAGGCAGGTAGTTGAATAACGCAATTATTTCTTTTACTTGAAAATGCCTGGGCTAAACATGGATAACGAACAGTTGAGGTATACAGGGTATCTGGGTACTTTTCGGACGGTCGGCAGAATCCTTGCAGAATCAGCAACTCTTATTCTAATTTTTACACTGCCAATCATTGACATCCGTTGATTCTACCGACGAGGCTTCAACATTTTTTGGTGTTCTGCTCGTTAAAAGCCTTCAATCACTTTCAACGGACTACCGACTAATTCCAGAGCAGCGGTCATGCTACGAGCCCGCAATCCACATTGGGGATGTCTTGGGCAAGATAACCTGACGGAGCCATCTCTCTTCAGGATGATTTCGAATTCAGAGTTGTTTACTTCTGCTAGACAGGTTTCCATCTCAAGGTAACAGAACTCTATTCTGCTATTTAACCCATAGTTAAGGGTACAAGAGATGAGTACATACTTTTCCTGTGGGTATTCGTGGGATATAGTACGTCACGAACCCAACCGGAATTCGAACACGTCTTTGCGATTTCTGTTTCCGAGTCTCTAACCCTTACACGTCCCTCAGAGTGGCGGTACTAAATTTCATCTGGGCTGCTGTCACTGAAACCGCTTCGAGAAAACTTCTCATTCATTCGAACAGTTTACGCGAACTAATGCCGACAAAAAAGAAATTAACCCTTAACATTACGAAGAGTCAGTTGAGGTTTCTAGGGCATATAACGAGAAAGGAGGGCTTGGCAAATCGATACTGATGGGATAGATAGAGAGCAAAAAGGACAGAGGAAGACAACGCATGAAATGAGCTGGAGTAAACGGATGGTGGAACAGGGCTTGGGGGAAATAGCAGGACAAGAGACAGGAAGTTGTGAAGAGCCATGACCGTCTACATCCTGAGGGGACACGACACATAAAGATGAAGAATGCCCGAGGTCCAGAAAAAACTTATTAAATAGTATGTCACTGTTGTCTGGGAACCTTCCCACCCTTCCTCCGTGGGAAAGGGTCAGTTCGCGCATGCGCAGTAAGGTTTTTTCTGATTGGCGGCCATGTTATCGAGATACCCAAAACAGCCGGATGTTTGCAAAAATCTGAGAATGGACTCGTAAGAGTTAATCAGCATAGAACAAATGGCTTAACAACGTTAGCGAACAACTATTGAACAATAACACAAGTTGTTCAAAAGACAAGCGATGAGGAAGAAAATAGCAGATTTAATCAAGATAAGTATCTGCATTATATATAATAAAGATTCTCTATGTATATATTCATCATGTGTAAATTAAATTTTGTTAGAAAATGCAACCAATCAATTGTTTTTTATGATCTTATTCGTTTTCAGCATCACAAAATCCATACAAGAAAAGGGCGGTTTATCTCCAAAACACAAAAATTTGTCGGAATTTGTTGACCGTTGATATTACAATGATAAAAATATGGATGTCTTTTCTCCTCTTTTTTTTTTAACTTTTGATTTTCTTTAACTAATCATTAGATTTTTCTTTTCATCTGATTTATCGGCAAAGATTATTTCCGAGCGTTTTATCGCAAACAATTCCGATTTTAAGTTTTATTTTCGGCTTTTTATTAGTTGCTCTTGCCAAAGTCGCCATCTCTTTCTTTCTTTCTTTTGTACACTTTATTTCCTACTTGTCTTTGAATTATTTTCTTTCTTTATCTATATCTCTTCAGCAAATTCCGTTTTCATTGCCTTTCTTCCGTCCGTTCTTTCCTTTTTTTTTCTTTCTATCGCTCTCTTCTCGGAATTCACTTTTTTTTTTTATCTCCTTCCTTTTTAATTAATTTTACTTTCTTTCTATCGTTCCAGCGTTCCTTTGTTTTTTCTTGCCTTTGATATTTTTCTTTCTTTTTTAATCCATTTTTTTTCTTGCTTCCTTTCTTTCGTTCGTTTATTTCTTTCTTGACTTTCATTCTTTCTTTCTTCTTTTTTATTTATTTTTTTCTTTTTTTCATTCTTTATTTTTTATTTCTTGGCTGCTTTCGTCCAAGCGTTTTTTTGTCTTTTTTTCTTGCGGTTCCATCTTTTCTTTCTCTTTCTGTTTCTTTCCCTTTATGTTTCTTCTTTTTTTTTTTTTTTCAACAATTTCTTTCTTGCTTTTTTTGCCTGCCTTCTTTCGTTCGTTTCTTTTATTTGTGCTTTTCCTTTTCTTCTTTCTTTTTGTCTTTCATTTTCTGTTTGAAAGAAAGAAGTGGGGGGAAAGTATTTTCCTCCATTTCTTCTTTTTTCTTCATTGCTGTCGTTCGTTCTTTCTTTCTTTTATTTTTTTCATTCTTTGCTTTCTTTCTTTGCTTTCATTTTCCTTTCTTTCTTTTTTTTCTTTTCCTTTCTTGTTTCGTTCTTTCTTTCTGTCGTTGGCTTTTTCTTATCTTTCTTACTTATACTTCTTTTCTTCCTTTGTTTGTTTCTTTCTTTCTACTTCCTTTTCTAGTTTTACCTTCATATACCTTATTCCCCACTTTTCTTCATCCTCCCTCTCGAATTTATTAATATTAATCTGTACTAAAGCCTCATTTATTACATTTTACATTTCCTAGACGATTCGTTTTCTGACCTTTTTCTCTCTCTCTCTTTGTTAATCTTAATTATTCTTTATTGCTAAGCTAGCATGGAATAATGAAAAGAGTAAAACCGTTTTTCTTCTTTTGCGGCTTAGATATCGATCTTAATTAAAATGTTTCGAAATTTCAAATCATCTTTGAGACAAAATTAAATTTCCTTTTTTCTATATTTCCTTTCTTTCCTTTTTTTTACTTTTCTTTTTCACATTAACCACACATATGCATACACAAAATAACACACACACACACACATATATATATATATGTGTGTGTTTGTGTATATATATATATATATATATATATATATATATATATATATATATATATATATGTTTGCTGAAAAAAGTTACTGGGCCGGCCTACTTCTCAAAATCATTATTTCACTGACCCAACATCAGAATACTGGTATTGGGAAGTGGGTCAGTAACAAAGAACTCATATATATATATATATATATATATATATATATATATATATATATTCATCTTCTTCTTCGATGCGACGTGCTTTTCAGAACGTGGGAAGTCATAGCTTTCCACTCTTTCCTGTTATTTGTAGCTCTTAGTATGTTTTATCGTTTTTACTATCCCTTCTCATCTCTCTTCTGTCAGCCTTTTAAACAAAATCGTTAGGTTGATTATGCCTTTAGTACGCCCTGTGAGTGTCAAGTTC